ATAAAAAGCATCTCAGGAAGAGAAAAAATGTTCTATAAAATCTGTGAGATTCAGGTGTCCTGGTATGTCGCCCTGGCTTTAGTCATGGTTAGCAAGTCTCTCATCTTTTTTAATCCCACCTCCTTTTTCTTTCTTTCCCTTCCACCTCCTCTCTTTCTTTTCCAAGGAGAGAACATGCCTGTTCTCCCGTCCTCTGGGCATGATGTGCTATGCTCACTGCTCACTTTATATGGGTTGAAAAAAAGCAGAGAGCATTCATTAGTTGTGGCTAACATATCTGGCTCTGTATTGGCACTGTGAACCCAGTTCCATGATCTCATTATTCACATATCTATTAAAAAAAAAAGGGGGTTGGCTTTTTCCAATAGTCATGTGTGAATGTGAGAGCTGGACCATAAAGAAGGATGAGTGCTCAAGAATTGATGCTTTCAAACTGTTGTCCTGGAGAAGATTCATGAGAGTCCCTTGGACAGAAAGGCGATCAAACCAGTCAGTCCTGAAGGATTCAACCTTGAATATTCATTGGAAAGACTAATGTTGAAGCTGAAGCCTCAATACTTTGTCCACCTGATGCGAAGAGTTGAGTCATTGGAAAAGACCCTGATGCTGGAAAAGATTGAGGTCGGGAGGAGAAGGGCACGACAGAAGATGAAATGGTTGGATGGCATCACTGACTCAAGTGTACACGAGACTGAGCAAACTCTGGGAGACAGTGAAGGACAAAGAAGCCTGGCATGCTGCAATCCATGGGATTGCGAAGAGTCGGACATGACTGAACCACACCACCACCTCATCAGCAATGGCTCTATATTGGCACGGTAAACCCAGTTCCATTATCTCATTATTTATGTATCTATACAACAAGGACCTCTTTGATGGACAGAGTCCTACCATCTTTAATGCTGAGACAGCTGGGTGGAAACTATTTGCAGGACTGTTCTGTCAGTTCAGCTCACAAGTTTTCTGTCAGTAGCTTACTAGCTTTTCCAGGATGACACTAAGTGCATTTATGGGTAGGGAGATGTGTGAGCATACAGGAAAAATAGGGTAGCATTTAAAAGGAAAAGGCAGCTGCTTCCATGAGACCACCGGCTCCTGGTGTTCCTCCTCCTTTCCTCACTGTTCTTTCTCAGCCTCTCACATCTCTCCATTCCTGCCCACAATGAAATGTTGCAGCTCGGGGGTACCACCATTTTGGAAACTTCTCTGTTCGTATTCTAAACTTACAGTCATTACTTTGAAAGAGTAGATTTCCCTGGAGTGCAAGAGAAGAGAACTTTATTTCCTTCCGCTTTCACTTCTGCTCTCTGGGGCTCATTTCTCCTAGCCCTGAATGAAATCCAAGGCCATCCCGTGATTTTTCTGATCACTCTGAGGTGGGGCTATGTGTTAGTCCTTCAGTCATCTCCTACTCTTTGTGACCCCATGGACCGTAACCCGCCAGGCTCCTCTGTTCATGGAATTCTCCAGGCAAGAATACTCCGGTGGGTAGCCATTCCCTTCTCCAGGCTATCTTCCCAACCCAGGGATCAAACCCAGATCTCCTGCACTGAGGCAGATTCTTTACCATCTGAGCCACCAGGGAAGTCCCATAGCATCTATTAAAACCAAGCATCAAAATTAACTGAACCTAGAACCAGACATTTAAATGATCATATCATAAAGGATTAGAGCAAGATTTTTTAAAGGACACATTTGTTTTCATTCATTAAAGGGTAATTTTCAAAAAATATAAAATCATACAAAATGAACATGTCTTAAAAGATTTTATCTAGTTTATTAATTAAAACAAGAATCCATAAGATGATTAATACAATTCAAAGGAAAATCTGAAGAGCAGACATATTTACAGTCAATCAAGAATGCTAAAATGAATTTGCAAATGCTTACAAAACTGGTTAATATCCTGTAAGGCAGCAAAGTATAGGGTTTCACTGGTGGCTCAGCGGTAAAGAATCTGCCTGCGAATGTAGGAGACTCAGGTTTGATCCCTGGGTTGGAAAGATCCAATCCACTCCAGTGCCTGGGAAATCCCAGGGACAGAGGAACCTGGTGGGCTACAATCCATGGGGTCGAAGAAGAGTCAGACGTGACTTAGGAGTGAACAGCAACAAGGCAGCAAACTGTAGTTTTCTGTGGGGAACTGGGGGCCTTCTGCAGCCTGGGGTCCCGACCCCAGCGTTTCCACCTCCATCTCCGCAGTCACCTCCCTTCTCAGCAGCTCGCCTCCCCGCCCCTGGCCCCCCACTGCACAGAGGGAAGGGCAGAGCGAGGGGGCCAGGCTGAGCGTGGCGTGGGCACAGGCTGCTGGCCGCGGGCAGGGCACCCGCGAGGAGGAGGGGCGGGGAGGCCCGCGCAGCCCAGGATCCCCACGGAATCCCCTCCTGGCGCTGCACCGCCTCTTGGTTATTTTTAAAATCTCATTTTCGGAAAGTGGAGAAGAAAACCTCTTTGGCCTTTTTCCCCTTTTTTCTGTGAAAGATTAGGAGAGGGGTGTGGAGGGAGGAGGGAGCCTGGAAGAGCAGGAGGCACCTCTGGCAGCGCACCTGCTTGGGGGCCAGGGCCTCTGCTGAGTGCTGCCCCCACCCCGGAGGCCCTGGAGACAGGAGGCGGGACCCCTCCTTGGGCAGCCAGGTCTCAGCTGCTGCTTTCACCCAGAGGGCGCGTTGTTGGCGCCAGCTTTACGCTGGAGCATGGCAGGGTGGGGGTTCCGGGTGTCCACCCTCATGGGGTGCAGGGCCTGCGGGGAGAGAGGGCCAACAGAGCTCCGCCCCCGGGCTGGGAGGCTGGGGAAGGGGCAGGAACTGCCTGGAGGAGGGCCCGGCAGAGGGCAGGGAGGGTTCTAGAGGCGAGGACTGCACGCACGGGCAGAGCCCGGAGAGCCTGGGTGGCTGGCAGGACACGGACTGACCTCAGGGGCCAGGGAGCCCGAGGGCCCATCAGGCAGGTGCCCTCACTGCTCCCCGGTAGGACACTCCGCAGGGGAGGACTTCCCTGAGCTGGGAAGGCCTGGAGCCTGGGACTGGACTCCTAGCTGCGCTCCTGAGGCTGGGCCTTAGCTGAGCCTGCTAAGTCACTCCCAGTTCTAACCCTGTCGACTGTAACCCGCCAGGCTCCTCTGTCCATGGGATTCTCCAGGCAAGGAGACCGGAGTGGGTTGCCATTTCCTCCTCCAGGGGATCTTCCCGACCCAGGGATCGAACCCACATCTCCTGCATTGCAGGTGGATTCTTGACCACTGAGTCACCTGGGAAGGTCGTGGGCCTGCTGCACTCAATGGCTTAAACACTTCGGGAGGGTGTCAGGTGGTCTGATGGAGCCACTGTGCTCCTGGGAGCCCATCCTCAGGGGGGAGAATTTGTCTGCCCGTCACCTCCCGTCAGAACCCCAGCCTGCATCACCCCACCTCCCAGAACTCAGGAGTTCCTGTTGAACCAACCTCTGCAGGGAGAATAAATGCTCTGGGAGCCCAGAGAAGTCAGGAGTGGTGTCTCAGAGGAGGTGACTTGGGCTGGGGTCCCCAAGGGTGAATAAGAGAGCGCGGGATTTTCTTCAGGAAAGCAGGGGTGTGGAGGGGAGGGGGTGACACCCAGTGCAGACCAGACTCATACGCGTGCGGTTATGGCTGCAGGTGCAGGGATGGGCCGTGCAGGGGGAGAGACCGCGCTCAGCTCTTAATGCAGTGGGGGTTTACAGCCAAGGAGCAGGGCGGAGGGGGTGGAGGGGGGTCAGTGGATGGAAAATAACTAGCAGGAGGTATCGGGTAGGGAGAGTCTAGCTAGATCCACCTACCAGGATTCTCGCTGGAGGCAGGCCTCACCTGGGAGCGAGCAGAGGATGAGGACCCTGATCAGAGGCAGGGGGTGCGGGGCAGGGGACACGGAAGAGGAGGTGTTCTTGCTAGAACTGCACTTCATGAGGAAGAGCAAGGATGGGCCCAGGAGAAGGTTCCGGAGCCCGGCTGAAGTTTGGTCCAGCAAAGACTTTGTCAAGGGCATTCCAAGAGGAAGGCATTGCAGAGCCTCAGGGCTGGGGTGGGCGTGGAGGCGGGCAGAGAGAAGCGGCCTGGGTAGCAGGGCAGGGGCTGGGCGGCTGGGCCCTGGGTCAGGCCCGTCCTCTCTGGGGCAGTAGCAGCAGCCTCCTCCCCTAAGGGTCCAGGCCGGAGCCCGCGAGCCGGGGTGTGCCGGGGGCCTGCGCGGTGGGATGCCGAGGCCCCCTCCCCCCGACCTGCCGTCTGTGCTCCGGAGGGCTGTGGCCCGGGCGAGCCCGGATCTGCTGGAATGCCCTGTCGGCCCGCTGCCGGCGGGACAGGAAGGCTTGGGCGGAACTGACCCGAGGCCCCTGGGGAGGGACGGGTACCTTGCAGAGGTGGGTGCACGATGGTCCACAGGCCTAGTGCTCACCCTGGAGCGAGCTATGAGGGCCTGTTTTGAAGCTGGCTCCACCATTGGCTGCTGTGTGACCTCCAACCAGTTCCTAACCTTCTCTGAGCATCATCCCACTCGCAGGGAGGTGAGCACACCCGGCCTCCAGGTTACTGTGAAAAGTGGCCATGAGGCTGGGAGCCCACACGCAGCAGAAGTGATCGCCCCTGGTGCTGAAGGTGCTCCCCAGTTCCTGAGAGGATCATAGGGGAAGCAGGCAGGCGGCATGACCCAGCCGGGGACCTGCAGCCCTAATATCTCACCGTTCTCAAACGTGGTGAAGGGTAGCACAAGATGGACAAGGATCAGACCCCAGGTCTCACTGTCCCCTAGGGCTGACACCTGTCCCCAGAGGAGGCTCATCCACTCCCACCCTAACATCCAGCCCCGCCTTGGACCCTGCAGGAACAGGAGTGCCCCCTACCCCAAGCAGCTCATCCATTGTCCATCTGGGGCTTGCTGGAAAGTTCTTCTGTGTAAAACCTGCCTCCTTGTAATCCAGGTACATTCCAAGAGCCCAGAAGGCCCACGGGGAAGTTCTGGGGCCAGGGGCCAGGAACCGACCCCCACCCCGGCTCATCCCCTTGGGGGCCAGCCTCTCTCTCTACCCTGCTTTCTCCTCCCTTCTGCCTGGAGCCCTAAGGAGGTGTGGGCAGCTATAGAGAACCCCAACCCAGTGCTTCCTTCTAGGCCCCAATTCCAAATTCCTAAGGGGAGGACCTGGTTGGCCCACCTTGCCCAGTCAGCCTGGTCGATGTCGAACAATGGCTCACCAAAAAAGAAAGAAACCAAAGGCCCTGACTTGCAGCATCGCCCACGACCGTGGTGTAGAGGCTCCCACCACAGCTGGTGCCCTGCTGCCCCTGTGATGGATGGCACAGAGAGTCTGGTGGAGATGCGCAGTACCGTCCCGTATACAGACAGAGACACATAGATACCTCTAGGACACAGGTGACAGTACAATATAGGCAATAAGCAAGTGATGAGCTTGGGGCACTTACTACCTCCGTTTTTATTAGCGTCCCGTCCATTGTAGGCTTCTGTGGTGGTATTTAACAAGTAACCCTCAACATTGCTGATCATTTAAGCACTAATCACACAAGTCTGTAGGCCACCAGACAGAGTGGCTATAAGGGGGCACACCTGGAGGCGTGGGGGCCCAGCCCTGAGAAGGGTCACTGCCAACACCTGTTCTGGGAGCTCTGTGGGATCCTCCTTCATGATTCATGGATTCACGGACCCAGTTTTCAGCAGTCCCTTTCACAGTACTGAAGGACGGGAGAGGGCAAACGGGGCTACAAACAGGACTGCCCCACACACCCCCGTCAGAGTGAGCTGAGCCGAAGGCTTGGGGAAAACCCCATCCCCCAGCTGCCTGGATGAGAGGACCCTGCCCGCTCCTCACCCCCAGCCTCAGGCTCCTCCCCGCACAGGGTCAAACCCAGGAGCCCCATCTCGTGAGACATCCTGAGATTCAGCTGCAGTTAGCCGTGGTGCGGCTGCCCACAGAATCAGACAGCTGTGCTGCGCTGGGCACCCGTCTCTTACCAAGACCCTTTCAGGGAAAAGTGATTTAAGTCTCAGAACCAGCTGGGGAAGGGGCATCATCAGCCCCTGTTTCTAAAGAGGTCACAGCCTCAGAAAGGTCACCTGCCCGGCAGAGCCAGAGCGGCGGGGCTGACCCCCAGAGCAGCTGCAATGCCCGCAGGTCCTCAGCGGTAGACGGTTGCTGTCCGTTGACTGTCTGGCTTCCTGCACGTGGCCAGGGTCCCACATGTGCGTCTCCAGGACACAGGGGCTACGGGCACAGCGAAGCTGCAAGGGCTCCTCGAGATCAGGGCCGGCTGGGCACGGGGGAGCCTGGCCCCGGAACACGCCGGCCCGCCAGCAGGTCCAGACAGCAGCCACCAGCCTGGGGCCTCCTCGCCGGCGGCCCCTTCACATGGGAGGACCCTGGGGCCTCTGGCGAGGAGTCTGCTGACAAGGGTCCCTGCTGGGAGCCCTGGTCTGGCTTCAGGACCCAGCTCCCCTGTAGCCATGCAATTGGACCGGGGACCACGAGCAGGAAGCCGCCGCGGACCCGCCCAGAGGGCTTCTGCTGGGAGGCCATTCAGTCCCAGCTCTGCCTGCTTCCGGCATGGAGCACACAGGAAGTCATCCGTCGCTGAAACAAACAACCCGCAGACTCGGGGACTTGAGACTCCACACGTTTACTGCCTCGCAGCCACTCGCGTCAGGAATCCAGGCGGGCTTTAGCTGGGCCTCCTGCCTCGGGGGGGTCTCCAGGGTTACACAGGTTGTCAGCCAGGTCCACAGGTGTCTGGAAAGAGACAGCTGAGAACCAGAGGTGGAGGGGCACGCTGAGGGCATAGGTGTGCACGCGCGCGCGCGCACATACATGCACACTAACACATGGGCTGTGCCCAGGACACAGTGTTCGATTCCACAGCCCTGTCCTTGCCAAGGTTCCATGGTGCTGCAAGCATTGTGACCTCACGGGTGAGCTCAGGGCTGGCTGGGGCGGGGGAGGGGGAGCCCAGAGATAGAGCTGCTCGGCCGGGCGCGAGAGTGGGCAGCACCTCCAGACTGGACCCCAACATGGACGCACAGCATTCAGAAAAGCCACACAGCCACGCCAGCACGAACAGGACCTCCTCAGCCAGGTCCCAGAACCCCAGGTCAGCCCAGCACTGGGCAGGGGCCCCCCCGCAGGGCAGGGCAGCAAGGGGCGGGCCCCCAGGGCCTGGGCCCAGGACAGAGGGGTCCTGCAGCGCGCCGGCAGCTGCCTGGAGTGCAGGAGTTGGGGGTGGACTCCCATCTGGCAGCCCTCAGGGTGGTGGAGAGGAGGCTGGGGGGCAGCAGGGCGGGATGATGGGGTGCGGGGAGGGGGGCTCGAGTCCAGCACGGCCTTTGCCGTCACACTGCCTGTGGCTGCCGATGCTTGTGGAGACCAGCGGTGTGAAATCGAGTGGACGGATGGACAGACAGTGGGCATGCTGTCCCTCTGCTGCCCGGAACCTCAACCTCGTCGAGAGGGTGCAGCAGCCTGTTTCCTGAGAGACGTGAGGGATGTGCACAAAAGGAAGGTCCTCTGTGGCCTTCGGTCCAGGGGTCCCCGCACCCCAGGTGGGCGCAAGGACACTCCGTCCCCTGAGTCCAGCGGCAGGTCAGAGACTGGCGGGCAGGCTCCCTCTCCGGGTCCCCAGCCCCCCAGGCCCACAGTGCGCCGCGTGGGGACTGGGGCAGGTCGGCTCTCCAGGCTGTCCCTGGGGGGTTCCCGGGCGGGGTCCTCGCCTGTGCTTCCATGGTCATGTTTGTCCCCGAGGGAGCTGCCCGACCCGCCTCGGAACGCAGCTCTGCTGTCCTGCACCGTCACTTCTGCCTGCGTGCTCAGGAAAGTCTCCCCTCTGCCACACGTCTGCCCCTCACGTCTAGGGCAAGAAACGCTCATCCTGCCTCTGTCTGCTAACTGCGTTCCTATTCTCCTGTCTTTCAAAATACACTCAATCCTGGTCGCCGCGGGACTGGGAGGCAGGTTTTGACACCTCTGAGATCCCCCCAGAGCAATCCCCGAAGTGGCCCCTCTTTCTGAGGTTGGGTTTCCAAAGCTCCATAAAGGCTTTCCAGCCCCAGTGTGCCCCTCTGAGCCTTGTTTTCCCACCGTTGAGGAGACCCAAGCACATCCCAAGGGACCTTGCCCAGAGGGAACCCTCTGTTCCACTGTGGGTGAGCCTGAGGCCCAGAGAGGGAACTTGACCCACCTGAGGTCACACAGCAGGGATGGCAGGACCACGACACCAGCCCAGTGCTCTGGACCCCCAAGTCCAGCTCACCATCCTCAGAGCTCACCTCCCCCAGGGAGCCGGACAAACCCAGGACAACGCAGTTCTGACTCAGTCATGTCCAAGGGATGGGGAAGATGGAGCCCAAGACCCAGCCCCGGCCATGGACACAGGACCTGGCCTCCAGTGACCGCCACCTCTGCTCTATCCCTCAGAGAATCTCTTCAAGGAGGGAGAGAAGGCTGGCTGGGAAGAGCAGCTGACCAAGGTAGGGAGGGAGCCCAGACACGGGGGCCTTCTGTGGGGCTGATGGGGGGCGAGGGTGGGCACGCACTCAGCCCTGGGGGGACAGAGGCAGCTCAGGACGGGAGGCGGAGGGCGGGCAAGGCTGGTACCGAGGCGCTGCAGGGTCCCTGGGAGTGAGGATGTGAACTGTGGTCTCTAGACACCTGGCACAGAGCAAGTGTCCAGCACACACAAGGCCCTTCCTGCCCACCCTGGGGTCTGGGTCCATGACTGAGGGGCCCAGAGAGGACGCGGAGGCCAGATGGGAGAGCAGAGGGGCAAGGAGGAGGGCGGTGGGGACTGAAGGCGCCACAGGGAGGACGGGTGTCACGCTGCTCCCGCTCCAGCCACACCCTACGTGGCCAGGAGAAGGGACGCCGGGCCCTGGCCTGCCTGGATTCAAGTCCAGATTCAACCAACCACAGCTGTGTGCCCTGGGGGACCTACTTTGCCTCTATCAAATGGGGGTGAAAGTACCAACCTCCAAGGCTTGCTGTGAAATGATAGGAAATAATCTACACAGTGTCTGGCACTCTGCGTGACAGATAGGAAGCCCTCACTACATTAGTTATTATTATCATATAGTAGCAGCAAAACAGTTGTAATTAAATAGCATTTAGTGGAAATAACACCGCCAACAGCAGCAATACAGGTAATTAATAGAAAAATAAGACAGAAAATCACTAAGGACATAGAAGACTTGAACAACATAATTAACTGAATTGATCGAATTGACGTTCTTTTCAAATGTAAGTGGAACATTCACCAGGACAGATCGTTTGCTGGGCCATATATCAGGTTTCAATAAATTTAAAAGGACTGAAATCAAACAGAATACATTCTCTGCCCAGAACATCAATTAGAGATCAATACCAAATACATCTGGAGAAATTCCAAATATTTGGAAATTAGACAACACTCTTTTAAATAACCCACAAGTCATAGAAGAAATCACAAGGAAAATTAGAAAATATTTTAAAATGAATGGTAAAGAAAGCACAATATAAAAATTTGAAAATTTGTGGGGCTCAACAAAAAACAATGCTTAGAAGAAATTTATATTTGTAATGCCCATATTAGAAAAGAGAAAAGATAAAATCTATTATCTAAACTCCATTTTAAGGAGCCATCCCCCAAAGTGCAAATTAAGCCCAAAGCAGAGGAAAGAAAATAATAAAAAGTAGAGGAAAAATTAAATTTTTTTACATGGACAAACAATAGTGAATAACACCAAAAGTAGGTTTTTCAAAAATATTAATAAAATGATAAGCTCTTTGATCAAGAAAATGAAAAATATTATCAGTAAAGATGGAATATCACTGAACAACTTTAAACATGGAAGGGTAATAAAATATGATTCCAGTAAATTAGACAATTTAGATTGAATAAACAAATTCCCTAGAAAACACAAACCACAAAACTGACAAGAGAAGGAACAGAGGATCTGACTAGCCCTGGATAAAAGAAATTGGAGTCATATTTTATAAACCTTCCCACAGGCTTCACTGGTTAATTCCGTCACAAGTTAAAGTGTTAGTTGCTCAGTCATGTCTGACTCTTTGCGACCCTTTGGACGTAGCTCGCCAGGCTCCTCTGTCCATGGGATTCTCCAGGCAAGAACATTGAAGTGGGTTGCCATTCCCTTCTCCAGAGCATCTTCCCAACCCAGGGATTCAACCTGGGTCTCCTGCTTTGCCGACAGATTCTCTATTGTCTGAGCTACCAGGGAAGCCCGTCACAAGGTAATGCAGAAAATATTAGCAATTCTGTCCAAATTCTCTCAGAAAATAGAGGAAGAAGGAACAGTCTTGAAACCATCTTATGAGGCCAGCACCAAACCAAAGCCAGAAGAAGACATTACAAGAAAGCTATAAACCAATATCTTTTATCAAGATGAACTCAAAAATATTTAGCAAAAGATTAGCAAGAAAAATCTGCCTTTTTGTTCACCTACCTGGAATCTCTCTCATCCCAGCCCTTTGAAGTTTTTACAGAGACCTTGTTAATAGGTGTGATTCACGAAACTGCTGGCAGCTGATAATTAAAGTCCACCTCTCACCCTCTCGCCTCTCTGAAGGTTGAGAGGTGGGTCAGAGTTCCAACTGTCGATCAAGGATTGGTTCTCCTGGCAACTCGCCCTCATCCTGGGTGGAGAGCCAGGGGCTCTCCAGAAGTGGAGCCAGGCTTCTTGTGAACAACAAAAGACACATTTACTGCTCTCCTCACTTAGGAAAGGGCTTCAGAAGCTCTGTGCCGGAAGATGAAGGCCACGTGTATGTTTTTATCATAAGTCGCAGCATCACACTGAGGAAGGCTCCTCACAGAGCAGGAGCAGGAGGAAACTAGCATCTATGGAAATGCCGCCACTCACATACCTCACGATGATGAGTGACACCTTCCCACTGAGATCAGAATGAGGCAAAGAGGTCCACAGTCTCCTCACGATGATGAGTGACACCTTCCCACTGAGATCAGAATGAGGCAAAGAGGTCCACAGTCTACACTTCTGGTCAACAGTGCACTGAAGTCCTAACCAGGGCCCAAGGTGAGAGACAGGTGAAAACAGATATACGGATTGCAATGAAAAATGAAAAACTGTCCTTCTTTGCAGACAACATAATTGCATACACAGAAAATCTCACAGTTTTTTAAATTCTAGAACTATTAATTAATAATTGAATTTAGCAAGATCTCAGGGTATAGAATCAATATGCAAATGTCAACTGAATTTCTGTGTACTAACAATAAACAATTGGAAAATAAACTTCTAAAAAACTATGATGCAGTCACATTAAAAACATGAAGGACTCAGATAAATTTAACAGGATATGGGCAAGATCTTTCCAAAACACTGCAAAAAGAAATTAAATAAAACTGAAATAAATGCAGATGGATAACGAGAGTCAATAATGTTAAGATGTCAATTCTAAAAATTGATTTGTGTATTGCCACTGTGATGCCAACCAACTTCATTACAAAAAAAGGGAACTTTAATGCCTGCCTCGAACCATTCACAAAAGTTAATTTGAGATGGGCCCACGGCCTAAATATTAAAAACACAAAAAAACTTCTTGAGGAAAACACTGGAGACAATCTTGCCTTTATCTTAAGGCAGGTAAATGTTTCTTGGAACCCAGACACCACTCATCATAAAAAAGCTTTTTAATGGATAATTTGGATCCCATCTGAATTAAAGCTTCTGCTCATCCAACAATACTACGAGGAAAGTAAAAAATGGGAAATCAGAGACATGAGAAAATATTCACAAGACATATCTCTGGCAAGGGATTGTACCCGGAATAAGTGAAGAACTCTTCCAAAATCAGGGAGAAGACAAACAGCCCAATTGCAAAAGGGAACAGAAGAGTTAAGTAGGCATGTCACAGAGGAAGGCAGATGAATGACCAAAAGCCAAAGACACAATGGTCAGCATCTTGAGTCCTCAGGGAAATGTCAGTTAACAATCGGAGAGCAGCCTCCACCCACCCACGGACAGAGCTCAAAGGAGAAAGCAAGGCTCGGCCAGATGCTAGTGGTGAAGTGCCCGCTGCGGGTGGGACGGGGAAACCTGCTTGGAAAACTGACATTTTCTTATACAGTTAGGACCCGGCAGTTCCACTTTTAGGTACTAACCCCAGAGGCATGAAACACTCGTACACAAAATTACACACACAAGCATGTTCCCCGCAGCCTCATTCATAAGCGCCTCAGACTAGAAACAACCTGTACTGGGCAGACTCATCCCCTCCCAAAGATCTGAAATCAATTGCTTGCTCACCCACCTGAGGAAACTGCAGAGAGGAGAGCGAAGTACACCAAAGCTGAGCAGCAGAAATGAAATAATAAAAATCAGAGTCAACTGGAACGAGCGTGCGACAGCACGGTGAATCTCAAACACACACTGAGGGCAAAAACAGCAGACAGAGGGCTTCCGCGGTGGATCCGGTGGTTAAGAATCGCCTTGCAATGCAAGGAACACTGGTTTGATCCCTGGTCCAGGAAGATCCCACATACCCAGGAGCAACTAATCCCAAGTGCCACAAATACTGAGACTCCTCTCTGGAGCCAGCGAGCCATAGCTACGGATTGAAGCCTGTGCTCCTAGAGCCCGAGCCCCACAAGCAGAGAAGCTACTGCGGTGGGAAGCCCGCGAGCCGCAGTTAAGAGGAGCCCTCAGCTAGAGAAAGCCCGCTCGCAGCAGCCAAGACCACAGCCAAAGAGTGAATCAGCACGTCTCTTTAAGAAATACCAGACACAGGAAAGCACACACCGCACGATTCCAGTCACAGGAAAGTCTAGAAGAATTTTAACCTTATGGCAGGCAAACTAAATCAAACCGGTCTTGTGGGGATGGAGGTTAACTAGGAGTGAGCATGAGAGAGCTTTCTGGGGCAGTCAGAAATGGTCCAGATCTTGACGGGATAAGACATTACTTTGCCAACAGAGGTCCGTCTGGTCAAAGCTATGGTTTTTCCAGTACTCGTGTATGGATGTGAGAGTTGGACTATAAAGAAAGCTGAGTGCTGAAGAACTGATGCTTTTGAACTGTGGTGTTGGGGAAGACGCCTGAGAGTCCCTTGGACTGCAAGGAGAACCAACCAGTCCATCCTAAAGGAGATCAGTCCTGGGTGTTCATTAGAAGGACTGATGCTGAAGCTGAAACTCCCAATACTGTGGCCACCTGATGCAGAGAATTGACTCATTGGAAAGGACCCTGAAGCTGGGAAAGATTGAAGGCAGGAGGAGAAGGGGACAACAGAAGATGAGATGGTTGGATGGCATCACCGACTCGATGGACATGAGTCTGAGTAAACTCCGGGAGTTGGTAATGGACAGGGAAGCCTGACTAGCTGCAGTCCATGGGGTCAAAAAGAGTCAGACATGACTGAGTGACTGAACTGAAACAATCATACGTTTGTCAAAATTCATTGCACTACACACTGACATGTGTCTCCCTGTAAGTTAAACAGACCTCAATATTAAAATATTTAAAGCTTTAAAGAAAATTTTGGAAACAGATGTGTTTCAAATTTCAAAATATTTCAGGTTTTTTAAAAGAAATATGGACCCACCTTATATATTCTGTAAACATTCTTAGCAAGGTCTAGGACTGATGCAGAATCAGATAGATGACTACCTCTGCTACGGAAACATGCAGAATTCATACTCATTCCCATAAATAGTGTCGCAGCAGTTTGGGCTCCGCTTTGGTCACCAAATGCTGGTACATGCCGCCATGAAAAAGACACCGAAGGTTTTGGGGGAGGGGACAGAAGCCCCTGGTGCTTCTGGAGAAATCAGGAGCTTCCAGGAGGCTGGGGTTCCCTGGGCATTCGGCAGACACCTGTCCTGTGGGCATATGGGAGAGCCACCCAGGTCCTGCTGCACCCCAGCAAATGCACCAGGTGTGGGGCACAGCTGGGGCAGGCAGGCTCCTCTGGATTCTGCCCTGGTGTGCGTGCATGCTAAATCGCTTCAGTTGTGTATCTGACTCTCTGAGACCCTATGGACTGTAGCGCACCAGCTTCCTCTGTCCATGGGATTCTCCAGGCAAGGTGTAGGTTGCCATGCCCTTCTCCAGGGGATCTTCCCGACCCGGGGATCAAACCCGCATCTCATTGCTTCCTGAGTTGGCAGGCTGGTTCTTTACTACCAGCACCACCTGGGAAGCCCTGGAGGAGTGGAGATGGCCAATATGCAGTGAAAGCATTAGTCACTCAGTCGTGTCCCACTCTTTGCGACCTCATGGACTCTAGCTCGCCGGGCTCCTCTGTCCATAGAATTTCCAGGCAAGAGTACTGGAGTGGGTAGTCATCCCCTTCTCCAGGGGATCTTCCCGACCCAGGGATCAAACCCAGGTCTCCTGCATTGTAGGCAGATTCTTTACCATGTGAGCCACCAGGGAAGCCTTAGGCTAGAGCAGTTTCCATTTCCAGGTCCAAGAGTGCATTACCAGAGGGGGTGTAGACAGTCCTGCCGGCAGGCGGCGCTCTGGGCAGGTCTTCTGTCCCAAAAGGCTGTGGGATGGATGGCCCTGCTAGTGCTCCTTTAGGGTAGATCCCCAGAAAAGGAATTAATTGGGGAAATGGATGTATATAAACTATAAATTTTAGTTTACATTGCCCAAACCTGCACTTTAATGTGATCCAATCACCTCCAAAATGGTGCTGTTACTATTTCTCAATCTTGGCCAAAATGATATATCATCTTAATTTCCATTTCTTAAATATTAGTAGGGTTGGATTTATATATCTCCATTTTTAAGTGGATTGTCGTTTTTCTTATTGGTTTATAAAGTGCTCTTTATCAATGATATTAACTCTTGGCAACAGATCACAGAAAGAAAAAAAAAAACTACTGTGTCTTTCAACTTAATTTATGGTGATTTGGCTAAACAAACTTCTTGAAATGCTCATCTTCACATTTACCAATCTTTTCTTCTTTTAAGGTATTTGGGTTGGGAGCATAATTAGGAGTCTCTCCACCAGAAAGAATCTTAGGATCAAAATGTTAGACGACTTGTATTGTGGAAACCAGGAATACTAAAAATAAAGAGGCTGTGTATTTATCATCATAAAATGATGCAGTGTTAGGGCTTTTAGGGCTTTATGTTTAGAAGGGACTTCTCATTCATTTATTCCTTCATTCAAAAGGCAAAAGAGAAGTTTATTGTGCTCACCTAGGCATGAGGTGGTCGCTATTATAGACATTTGGAGGAAGAACCTGCTGAGACCAACCTGATCCCATGGTCAAGAAAGATACCATTTTTTTTCCAGCCTGATTCAGTCTCTTGCAACACCTTTCCTGCATGCCTTCATCACCCCTCACCCCCGAGGGGTTCAGGGGAAAGAAGGGCTGGGGAGGCGGTGTGTGGCAGGGGAGTTGTGTGAGGGTCTGGACATCCCATTGTATTTCCCAGATGGCACTAGTGGTATAGAAAACTCCTGCTAATGCAGGAGACTTAAGAGGCCTGGGTTTGATCCTTGGGTCGGGAAGATTCCCTGGAGTAGGGCATGGCAACCCACTCCAACATTCTTGCCTGGAGCATCCCACAGACAGAGAAGCCTGGCAGGCTACGGTCCTGGGTTGAAAAGACTGTAGGGTTGAAAAGAAGTCAGACATGACTGAAGGGACTTAGCACGGGTGTCCCACATGGCACATCCCACTGCATCATGGACAGATTCTGGTCTCACAAGACTCCTGAGGATTCGAGGAGTTTTATCTACTTATTTATTTTGAATATTCCTTCATTTAGCTTCTCCAGTCTTGTTGTGGCACGTGGGACCTTTAGTCTTTACTTGTAGCATGTGGAACCTTAGTTCCCTGACCAGGCATCGAACTCAGTCCCCTTGCATTGGAAGCTCAGTCTTAGCCACTGGACCATGAGGGAAGTCCCCACAAGGAATTTAGGACCCAGAGGACTGCAGCTAGTTCTTCCCACCTCTTCTGAGCTCCCCGTGGCCTCAGGGCCACCACTCCCCAGGCTCTGAGGCTCCCCCACCGCCACCCCACCTTGCACAGCCCAAGGATATCAGGTAACCATACCTGAACTCTTCTTTACACTAAGGGACATTATCTTCACCCTAACCATGATGGCCCACACCTCCAAGACACAGAAACCTCCTGTCCAGGCCGCATGAATCAGTCAAGCCACAGCCCCCAGATCGATAATCTCCATAGAGCACATTCTGTCCCTGCGCTCACCCCTGGTGACAAACAGGACCCGGCGTCAGCAAAGCATGAGGAGAAGGTCAGTTCTCCGAGGAGTGGGGGCGAGATCACTCTGGAAATGCTTCATGGCAGAGGTGTCTTTAAATTGAACCTTGGGAGATGTGTCTGCCAGACAGACCGGATGGGGAAGGGTCTTGGGGAAGGAAAAAAGCTTGAACAAAGAGCAGCAAGACCCACTGGTACCTTTGAGTAGCTGTGGGAGCCTCTGGGGGTGGGTCCGAGTAGAGCACGGGTAGTGGTAAACACAGAGGGAGGCAGAGCCTGAGTCACAGAGGACCCCGTGGCCAGTATGAAAGTGTGCACTCTGCCCGAAAAGTCAAGATTTGGGGAGTTATTTTAGGGTTCTGAACCAGAGAGTAACATTGGAGCAGGCTTTCCCTTTCAATGACATGTGACTCCAGATAAGATACTTAACCTCTTTGTGCCTCAGTTTCCACAACTGTGAAATGGAGATAATGTATCTTTTTGTTGTTATTTTTTAACTTTTGGAGTTAAAAAACAAAACCCCTGTCTGGGCCCTTCCCTGGAGCTATCAGCGTTCCTGGGGAGACATGCTGTGAGAGGATGGAGCGCCACCAGTGGACCTCACCTAACTCTCCTGGTCACTGACTGCTGGGGCGACAACCCCACAGAGGTTGGTGGAGAAGGGCAACTCCGTCTCCGGCCCCATGCCGGGCCCTCAGTGGCCGGCTGTAGCTCCGTTTGCCAGGCCGGATGGAGCTGGCTCTTGTTAGGTCTCCGCATGTTTTCTAGACCACTGCTGTCTCAAATTGCATGGAAAGGGGCTATGAGCTCAAGTCTCAGCTCCTCCTTATCCCAGATCATATCCTGCTATGATGGAAACCTCTCAGGATTATTCCTTCTGACTATAGTTTCCCTCTGGTGGTCTTTATCGAATGAGCCTCTCAAGTGCTCACACTTGCTCCTGGGCCCCAGCTGCAGGTTCAGCTTCTTGGCTGGACTTGGGGCTCCCTCCCTGGAAGAAGGTGTGTATTTGCCCTCCAGATCTCCCCAGAGGCACCTCAGCCATCCTTTCAAGAGTTATCTGGGCTGGAATCAGCTGTGCTACCTCCTGAGTTCTGAGGTGCCCAGGCACGTCTCCCCATGGGTGGGGACAGGACTGTGAGATGGGGGAATGGACTGAAGGGTCAGCATCGAGGGGCTCCCAATCTTCACAAATGCTCTCTGCTTTCTCTTCTTCCATGAGCACACCCTACCCAGGCCACTGGTCTCAGCAAAATCCATTTCCCAGCAGCTGCTATGAATGAATATTTGTGTCCCCCGCTCCCCAAATTCATATCTTGAAGCCCTAACCCACAAGGTAGTGCTATTTGCGGGTGGAGCCTTTGGGATGTAATTAAGTTTAGACAGTGTCATGAGGGGGTCTTCCCAGGTGATGCTCGTGGTGAATAGCCTGCCTGGCAATGCATGAGACTTCAGAGACGCAGGTTTGATCCCTGGGTCAGGGAAGATCCCCTGAAGGAGGGGCAAGGCAACCCACTCCAGTATTCTTGCCTGGAGAATCCCATAGATGGAGGAGCCAGGCGGGCTGCGGTCCACAGGGTCACAAAGAGTCAGACACAGCTGAAGCGACTTAGCACACACGCACCAGGTCAAAAGGGCCCTCATCAGACAACGAATCTGCTGCACCTTGATTGTGGACTTCCCAGACTGGAACTGTGAGAAAGCAATGCTGGTTGGTTAAGCCACCCGGTCTCTTGGTGTTTTGTCACAGTAGCCTGAACTAAGACAACAGCTTTCCTTGAGTCACAATTATGAGCCTCCCCTTCAATTATATTCTCAGGAAATATACTATGTGTGTTTTTTGCACTGCACTTGTTATAATATGTATTTATACATATTTATCATGTATTTGGTCAAGGTTTTCTTCCCCTATATTTGTTAGGCTATAATACGTTAGTATATAGAGATATATTATAGGTGAGAGACCCCACAAGACAGAGCAGAAGTTTATTTTTCTCTCAGGTAAAACCTGCAGTTGGCATAGTGGCTCTGCTCCACAGAGTCACCTGTTTTGCCATCCCTAGGGTGTCCCCTCATTTATGTGGCCCCAAATAGCTCATAGTAGTATCCTCTTTCCTGCCAGTGGAGGGGATGGGAGAGGAAGGGGCAGTGACACCCTTTCCCTTTAAGGGCTGGAGCACAGTGCCTGACGTATATTGAGTGTCCTGTAAATCACTCGTGGTCCTGATACTGCCCTGTCATGCCTTCCCCATCCTAGAACCCATCGCAGAGAGTGTCAGTCACCATATGTAAGCGGGCAATACATATGCTCCAATGAAGTCGCGCAGCATTTTCCAAAGAACTGGTGTCTGCTGGTTCTCCTTCCGACTTCTGGTTCCTACTCTGTGGGCCCCTCTTTCCCAGAAAACAGTCTCTTCTCCCTGGAGAGGACAGGCTGAGGCCTGTGAGGCTACTGGTGGCTGATTTTCAGAAGTGAAGCACCCACACCCAGTTCAAATGTCACCTCTTCTGCAGCCTTCCCTGACCCTCTTCCTCCCACTCGCTTCCTGCCCAGGAAGACCTGGAAGAATGAATCACTTCCTCTGTACTCTGGCTGTTCCCTGCCCGTTTCTGTTTGAGCTTTCATCCCACTGGAAACAGGGGGAGAGCTTGGGCTGGTTCCATCTGGTGTCACCCAGGCATCAGCCTCTGAGGCTTGTCCTTGTACCCTCAACTGCTGGGAGCCTTCCACCATTAGAGGCGGGTCAGCTCTGGGACTTCCCGGCAATCCAGGGGTTGACAGTCTGCCTGCCGGCGCAGGGGGCATGGGCTCGATCCCTGGGCTGGGAGGATCCCACATGCCGCAGGGCAGCTAAGCCTGTGAGCCACAACAGCTGAGCCTGCGGCCCTAGAGTTCATGCTCCACAACACGAGAAGCCGCCACAACTAGAGGGTAGCCCCTGCTCACACGTGCAGGAAGACCCAGCGCAGCCAAAAATAAATTTTAAAGAGGGCTGTCTTCATAAGATTAGTCAGATTGCAGTTGAGTAAAGTCTTGAGGGCACACACGGGTGCCATTTTTGCTGATTAACAGAATATGCTGTTTGCTAATAAGTTCAGAGGCCAAGGAGAAGGACAAAGAGTATTGGTGCCCAGCACTGGCCATCCACAGTGCTCAGAGGAACAGAGGCGGAACAGGCTGAAGAGACTGCTCAACTTTCCAGGAGCCCCCTGGTTCTGATGCTGGATACTGTGTGCTGGGACAAGACAGCTGGTTCTAGAACCCCGGCTCCTCCACATGGTTCCTCTCGGATGAGAGCTTTCACTTTGGGCTCCACGACTCCACTTACGTCCCCCTTCAGCGTACCCCAGAGACTCACTTCCAGGCTCCGAGGAGGAAGAAGCCTTACCCTGTCTCACTCTGGATTTCTAAGCCTCTAGTCTCCTCAAGCACAGGCTTTTGGCCAAACACTCAGAACCTTTCTCGCTAGGCCTGTGTCATCCCTGTGTTGAGGCAGAGATGAAGCCGTGTTCATTTGTCTGAAGGAGAAGGGGTCACAAGGCAGCAAGCAGCAGGAGCGGGTGCTTGGAGGCAAATCCAGGCTAAGACGTCAGCGGTCGTGTACCTCCTCCAGCTGTCTCGCTGTTGTTTGTGCTCATCTTCCTCGCTAGACTGGAAGATGCAGGATGCAGGCCGGAACTGTGCATTATTGTTTTCACATCCAAGGCCTGTGTTAGGGCACCTTTTTGGTAAATATTCAGTGAATAGTCTTAAATCTATGTGACAATTCTTTGTTGGAAAGTGGTCATCACTTATATTTTAAACATTCTCCAGATGTCTTCGTTACTTTGTCTTATTCTCAAAGACAATCTTAGTAAAGAAAAGTGGGCACTATTATTCCTTACCTTATGGAGACCAGAGAATTAAGAGACTTGGCCTAGGGTCCCCTTGTTGGCTAAAAGCAGGGCTGAGACTAAGTTCTGCTTGCTTCAAGGCCCATTTTCTCTCCGTAGGATAAAGACAGGAAAAGGGAGACAGAAAGGGTGTGGGCTGTTATTGGACCACTGGGTCCCCTGTTATCCTGCTCAGCTGTCCTTTGAAATAAAGTCCCTTACCTTAGGGTCAGGTTGAAGCCTGGGGTCAGAGAATAATCTAGAAAAGGATGCTCAGGCTGAATAACACACCCCTTGGTCAGAGTGGCTAATAGGTGCCTTTGCCACTTTGGCCTAAAGCAGTTCTCCTACTGTTTGGTCCCCTTATTCAACATTCTTAAAAATTGTTGAATACCTGAAAGAGCTTTTGTTTATATGGGTTGTACCCATCAATATTTTCAGCAATTGCAGAATTGAAGCTGAGTAATTTTAAAAATATTTAAGATTAAAATTTAGCATAAAGTTCATTTTACGTCTTTACATCTTTAACGTAAAAGAGGTTGTTGTTATTGTTGTTTGTTTTTTCATTTGTCTCCAACAAACTGCATCTTCCCATCCCTGATGGGAGGTGAGTCGCAAATGAAAGGGGGCTCAGAACCCACTTTGGGAATTGTAGGTAGAGATCTGGCAAGTCCTCAAGCTCAGACTCCCCACTGGGTGTGAGATATATTAGAGGGTAGGTAGGTCTGCCTGTCCACAGGACCATGGAAGCAGGAGGGAGCGTGGGGGCCCTGGGACCTTATCCCAAGACAGAAGTTTGCAGACGTCCCCTGGGAGCCAGCAGAGATTAAAGAAGGCTAATCCTCATCCCTGGGAAACATTAGAGGTTTGCTGAGGTCAGCAGGGTTGGACCCCCCAGCCTGGAGAGGGAGTGGTTAAGAGATTGAGGAGACTGAGACCCGCAGACAAGAGCTGCAGGTGAGGGCCCAGGGCTGATTGGGACTCAATTGTCCATTACACTATCTGGCTTAATGGAAGACTGCTGGACAGCCTCAGCATTTAGTCTTTTCCAGATTTTTTTTTTTAGTTGCAGTACATGTGGATGTGCAACCTCTCGCAGCTAGGTGGTAGGAAAAGGAAGGAGTGTTTTAACAGCCTCTTCAAATAACTTTGGATGTTTCTCTTCCATACCCACAAAACTTGACAAGAGGAAGTTTCCTAAAGATTAGTTGCAATGTGGAGTCTGAAATTGTATTAATGAAATGTTCATACTCTGTTGTATTAAAACCCATTGATCGGCTCTCTGCTCCTGCCCGTTCGACAGATAGCCGTAACTTTCGTGCTGTGCCAGCCGCATCTCTGAGACAAGATGGTGAAGGTCGGAGTGAACGGATTTGGCCGCATCGGGCGCCTGGTCACCAGGGCTGCTTTTAATTCTGGCAAAGTGGACATCATCGCCATCAATGACCCCTTCATTGACCTTCACTACATGGTCTACATGTTCCAGTATGATTCCACCCATGGCAAGTTCCACGGCACAGTCAAGGCGGAGAACGGGAAGCTCGTCATCAATGGAAAGGCCATCACCATCTTCCAGGAGCGAGATCCCGCCAACATCAAGTGGGGTGATGCTGGTACTGAGTACATGGTGGAGTCCACTGGGGTCTTCACTACCATGGAGAAGGCTGGGGCTCACTTGAAGGGTGGCGCCAAGAGGGTCATCATCTCTGCGCCTTCTGCCGATGCCCCTAATGTTTGTGATGGGCGTGAACCACGAGAAGTGTACCACCACCCTCAAGATTGTCAGCAATGCCTCCTGCACAACTCAACTGCTTGGCCCCCCTGGCCAAGGTCATTCATGACCACTTCGGCATCGTGGAGGGACTCATGACCACCATCCACGCCATCACTGCCACCCAGAAGACCGTGGATGGCCCCTCCGGGAAGCTGTGGTGTGATGACCGAGGGGCTGCCCAGAACATCATCCCTGCTTCTAGTGGCGCTGCCAAGGCCGTGGGCAAGGTCATCCCTGAGCTCAACGGGAAGCTCACTGGCATGGCCTTCCACATGCCCACCCCCAACTTGTCCATTGTGGGTCTGACCTGCCGCCTGGAGAAACCTGCCAAGTATGATGAGATCAAGAACGTGGTGAAGCAGGCGTCAGAGGGCCCTCTGAAGGGCATTCTAGGCTACACTGAGGACCAGGTTGTCTCCTGCGACTTCAACAGCGACACTCACTCTTCTACCTTCGATACTGGAGCTGGCATTGCCCTCAACGACAACTCTGTGAAGATAATTTCTTGGTACGACAATGAATTCGGCTACAGCAACAGGGTGGTGGACCTCATGGTCCACGTGGCCTCCAAGGAGTGAGGTCCCTGGACCCCCAGCCCCGGCAGGAGCACGAGAGGAAGAGAGAGTTCCTCAGCTGCTGGGGAGTCCTTGCCCCACTTCGATCCTCCACCACACTGAGAATCTCCCGACCTCCACAGTTTCCATCCCCAAGGCCCTGAGGAAGGGGAGGGGCTCAGGGAGCCCTGCCTTGTCGTGTACCATCAATAAAAGTACCCTATCCCCCCCACCAAAAAAAATAATAAAATAAATAAAACCCATTGATCTTTAACCAGTGTTGATCTATACCATTGTGCACTGGTCTCTGGGAAGCTTATACCGCTCCTCTACATGAAAGCACATTTCTTTATGAAATATTGAAAAATCACATCTATTAATATTACCTGGAGAAAGAAAATGGCAACCCACTCCAGTACTCCTGCCTGCAAAATCCCATGGGCAGGGGAGCTTGGCAGGCTACAGTTCATGGGGTCACTGCTGATGTCAGAAAAGTCTTTAAGTATTGGAAAATTCTCATGCCACTCATATGGCAAGTGAATTTTCTCCCCCCAATTCTAATTTTCACTCAAAAGCTCAAGTTTTATCAGCAACAAAAATTGTCAGTTGCTTTCCTTTGTGTGACAGGGTTACTTTATTTGTTAAGAAAATGTCTGCCAAATACCTACATCTGAATAACTATACCTTAATAGACATTCTCTCAAGTACAAAATTGCATTCCATGGGGGGAGAAAAGAGAGAACAGTTAGTTTATCTTACAACTCAGACATCTGTGGAGGACTGTCTCTTGCAGAAGATAACCGTCTTGCTTTGGTACACAGCAGAAATGCTTTCTGTGCAGCTCCCACTCAAGCCCACACCAGTGGGACACTGGCTGTCTCCCTGTGAGTGCGCGGGGCCGAAGGATACAGCGACAACCGGGATGCCAGGTGCCACCGCCTCGATTCGCGCTGAGGCGCCAGCAGTTTTGCGCCCCTTTGCTTTTGTACCATTAGCTCAAATGTCAACCCAGCAAAAAGGCAATTAACATTGTGGTTTTCTTAAGGAAATAGCTTTGACCTTGAAGACCCTCTGAAAACTGTCTTCGGGGTCCTGGCAGCCCATGAAGCATCCTCTGATGTTGAGAACCACTGCCCTCAAGCAACAGGCAGCTGTCGAAACCCAGAGCCCGCTGGTAGAGAAGAAGGATCAGTCCTCTTGACCCCAGGGGCGTCGTGTCTAGTCCCAGCCCTTCTCTGGGTCTCAGCTGGATCTTCTGTGAAAGGGGATAGTAATGTCTTCCTTATAGAGTTGTTGTGAGAAGTCAATCATGATGATGCAGTGAAAGTGCATTTTTGTGGATAAAGTTCTGGGAAAAGAAAAAGAACTAGGTTCTTTCGGAGTCTCTGAGCATCCTTAGGGGAAGGGAGAGGCCAGGCCTAAAGTCATGTTGCCAAGATGGCCTCTACTGTGCCCACATCAGTCAAGCTAGAAGGGGAAGGAGCTTCTCCCCGTAGTGCACCCTCCAGGGAGTGGAAAGGACCTTGAAACCTCTCCCCTCTCCTACTACTCTGCCCTCACTACCCTTGAATCTCAAGTGGGCCCTCAGGTCTACCCAGCAACCCTACATTTATTTCATTGGTTTGCTCTTTCACAGTC